CAAAAATTATAAATATTTTATAGAAAAAAATGTCACAGGCAATGTAAATGGAGAGATAATTAATAACCTAAGGGTTCGACAAATTTTGGGAATAGGTAAGTATCTTAGTCTTTCATCCATCATTGGAAGAAGTAGAAAAGTCACATTTCAGTTCATAAAGCAAAGAGTATGGAATAAGATTAATTCTTAGAGTAACAAATGTCTTTCTCACGCCAAAAGGTAGACTCTTATGAAAGTTGTTCTTCAATTTATTCATTCTTATGTCATGAGAATATTCTTATTGCATTTGTCATTAAGTGGGGAAAATGTTAAAATTATGAACTCCTTTAGGTGGAGGTTTAATAGGAGTCGGACGAAGGAAATTCATTGGTTGTCTTAGGATATTTTGTTTATGCATAAGAATGATGGAGGTATGGATTAAAAAATCTAAGCGCTTTCAACTATTCTATGTCATGTAAATAAGCTTGGAAGGTTATTACAAGTCCAGGTAATTTGATCACTTGGTTATTCAAAGTAAAATATTTTCTTAATTATGTTTCCTTCATTCATCTACTGGACATAATCCCAATTATGTGTGGTGTAGTATTTTAAGCTCTAAGTTTTTTGTAAAATGGAGTTATAGGTGGAGCATCGGATCAAAAGATTCTATTACAATTTAAGATCATAATTGGTTTTATAATAGTTCTTCGTTAGTAAACCCTTGGCCAAATATTGTAGTAATAGAGAACTTGAAGCTCTCTAAGTTGATGGTTTATGATGGAAAGTGATGGAATAACAATTTGATACATGCTTTTGTTAGTGTAGAAGAAGCGATAAAAATTCTTAAAATTCTCTTATTAGAAGTTATTCTGGTTGACAAAAGAGTGTGGAAGTTTGAAAAGAATGGTGTATATTCAGTTCGCAGTGCTTATCACTATTGTATAGAAAAGGCTTTTGATACATCTCATCTTCAGGTTCAAGAGAACTAGAAGCTCTTATGGAAATTGAAAACTTTCCTGATAGTAAAAAACTGTCTATGGAGTTTATGTAGGGATTGTGTGCCTACGAGAAAGCAGTTGGTAGATAAAGGAATTCAATGTCAGAGATATTGTGAAGTTTGTGGAGAAGGTTTAGAAAATGATAAGCATCTTGTCTTTAACTTTCCTAAAAGTATTGAGCGTTGGGAGCTAGTTGGGTTATGGCATATTACTCAACAGGCGGCGAATGCTAATATTCCTTTCATATATATAATTTTCTCTCTTTCTCAGGGCCTGAGTCAAGACTAGCCAGCCTTGTTTTTGGTCTTTATTTGGAGCATTTGGAAGGGTAAAAATAATTATATTTGGAGTCACATTGAAGATTAAGTAGAAACAAATGACTGTGTATCTTACTTGCTTATGGGATGGAGAAATGCCCAACAACTCCAATCGAGAAGTTCTAATCAAAATGAAACTTCTTTGAACAACTCTTGGAGTAACCTACAATAGGTCGTTCTCAAATATAATATAGATGATTCATTCTCTACAACTTATAATAAGGTAGGAATAGGTGTTTGTGTTCGAGATGAAGATGGGAAATTGGTGGTAGCTTGACCGGAGTGGGTGTCACCTATTACCGAGGTGGATACGGGGGAGGCTTTAGGCCTTCTAGCAGCAATTAAATAGGTACATGAGCTTGATTGGATGGTGTGGATTTTGAGGTAGATTCAAAAAGCGTAGCGGATAACGTAAATAGCCAACAAGTGAATATTACAGAATTTGGTGAGATCATCAAGGAATGCAAATGCTTACTAGCCCGTTATTTTATGAACTCTCATGTTAAGTTTGTTGTAAAACAAGCTAATGAAGTTGCTCATGCTTTGGCAATGATGGCTTCATCTCTCACTAGTTTTCAAATTTTTATTGATATTCCAACGTGTATTCAACAACTCCTTCACGTCAAAAAAAATAAATCATATCAAATAAGCTCTAAATTATGTTTCACAAATATTGACAACACTTACAATTTCAGTTTCTTTTTAGGAAACAAATTCAATCATAAGGATGTATGTATAACTTGAGGTTAAAGAATAACTACTTTTTATTGAAGCAGTAACAAAAGACGAGAATGTCTGGCCATATGGTAATTGATGGAATGAGAAAAGTTTTGGGAACAAAAGGGGAAAGAAAGAAACATGAGCATTTGATATCATGCTTTACCATAACAACTAATCATCCTAAAGCTGATCTTGTCATCTCATATGCCAAGAAGCATGCTGCATTTGCAGGAATACTTCTTCCCATTGCAGGACCAAAACCCTTATATAGCCCTTTGAATCCCTCAGAGGATTTGATCTTTCTGAAAGCATCCAATGAACCAGAGAATTTTGGATTCTTGTGATCATCTACTTGAAGCACACTTTTAATAACATCGGTCGGGTAAACAAGGAACCAGAAGGAACCACCAGCCAAACCTCCCGCAACAATCAGAGAACCTCTGCTTAGGCCAGACGTATCGGTACCTCCTGCAAAGCGTTGCTTTAATGCTTCATATACGCCAAACATTATCGCGTTTCCAGGTATCTCGCGTCCCATTGTGGGAATCAAGCCTTTGAAAAGACCTCTCACGCCCCCCTCTGACCGAAGAACCTGCCTGGCCACATCCATTGGTCCTCCATACTTAACAGCCACAGCTGCTGCTCCTGTTCCAGCTAGTGCACTCTGTGCTTGCAACCTGATTATATTCATAAAGATCCATCTCGTGAATAAGAACTATTTTCCAAATTATGAATCAAATCTTGTTATGAATTGTAAAACACATTACTAACAAAATAAGAAATTCTTAAGTAAAAACAAGTAACATAGCAAAATCACAAGCTTATAGTATATATGAGCCTTAAGATAATTCAATACTAAAGTCATAAATCAAATGACAAAAGAAAGATGACTAACTATACACAGTTACAATAAAAAAGTGGACAAGCTCACTAAGTTTAGGTAATGATTCATTAGGGATACAAAGTTAAATACATGTACAAAATAGATACACACTAGGGATTCATATCGATTGGATTCAATTTTGAATCAAATCGAGATACACCTCTTGTGTGTCGTAAGATACTAATAACCATGCTTATGACAATTTGATTTATGTCAACTATGAGAGGATGCTTTATATGGAATCAAACGAAACTAAGACCTTTATTATTTTTAAAAGAGATCAAAATCAATGAAAATTATACAAAGAGAAAAAGAAGAAAAAGAAAACAACAGACCTACCTGCATTTGATTAATTCAGTTGGGCAAGCAAGAAAGGAAACAGCGAAACCAGCTCCAGCTCCACAAACAAACTGCTGACTCACTGTGAGGGAGGCACCTGGATGTGACCTCAATAATGATTCCATCTGCCCCCTTACTGTAAACAAGACAGCGTTGAAGGCTGCTACCGTAGCGAGGGGGGCGCCCATTCCTTTGTATAAACCCCCTGCACCTTCGGCTGCTATTGTCTGCCTGACGGCATCAAATGCACCAGCATACTTGGGAAGCTGACCAGGGAGTGGTGTAGGCTGGCTTTGGAGCTTGACCTTGATGGTGTCAAAGGGATGTCCACATACTAGTTGTGCAGCCCCTCCAACAGTACCGGCTGTAAGATCCTTAGCCACGTCTCCCATCTACAAAATATACAACTTCACACGATCAAATACTGAAATTAGTAACAACTCAGTGGGGTGCACACGCTTCAGTTTTTCGTAGCATAGCTCAATAAAGTTTTAATGAAAGACCTAAGTTTTTTGCTTTATTGCATATATAATTCAATGCTGTTGTCTAAAACACTTTTAAGAGGGTTCAATAATACCACAATATGAATCATGCAGACAGGACAACCATAGAGTTGATGAATAAGTACAGGAAAACAAGCAAAAGCGATCAAATCGAAATTAAGTTTCCGAAAGAGGGAATAAAAAAGGATAATATTCTCAATTTATAGATATACAAGGAACATCATCGGCCAGAAATAATATTGAATCATTGTTCTATTATCTATATAGATTCCACTTAATCTTTCACTCTATGTACAGATTTACACCAATATCACGCCAGAAAAGATTCGGCAACAAAAAAGAATTCGAAAGTCTGTTACAGTAACTTCTGGATCAGATTTTAATAGGTGAAAGAAAATAATACACAAATTTCCACTCTTATTTGGCTTTTAGATTACAAATACAGTGACAGATTGCTTTACACTCACTTGCTCAAGCAAAGCAGAATATCAATTTTAGGCACAATCAAAATCAATACCTCTATAATGGAAAGAAAAAAAATAATAATTGAAGTTTAGCTCTATACAAGGTTTAAAATTATGTGAGCGATCATTGATTTTGTATAGCAGAATGGTTTTTAATTGCGGTTGCAGACATTGTGATGGTGGTCATTGTGGTTTCTGTCGTGCTCATTGTGCTTGTTGCGACATGAATACTAATTGAGAGGAGTTTGAAATACACAGTTGAGATAGTGTTAAAAGTAAAAAAATTCATTAGATCTCAAGATTGGAATTTGGGGTTTTGAAATCTTAACTTTTGGTGAAAAGATCTATAAGAACATGGCCGAAATCATCTTATGCAATTCCTAATACGGCCGCACACGTGATTTTATATCACAATGCAATGGGGAGGATACTGCAACAACAATAATGCGGCCACAATTGTAGATGCAGGCCGCAATTTAGAACACAACATGGACAAATACACAAACACAACAAAGGCAACATGTAATAAGCACAAAAACAGACACCAAACACATCACCGACTTGGAGTAGACACGATACAAATTTAAGAAAACGATTGTGACTACATACGTCAGTGTCGTGTAAATCCAATATGTCAGTGCTACATAGAAGGCATTGAGAACATCAATGTAAATTCAAAGAATCAACAGTTACAAAATTTAAAAGCAATTGGGCATAACAACTTGGACGTAAAACCACCACAAACTTACCGAGCTTTAGCAAACGAAATGAAAGTTGAAAACTCAAGAATTTCCACGTTAAAAGAACCTGCGAGGAAACAAAAACATTATCGTTAACCAACGTAGAATGTTGAATTTTTCTGGTAAGGATGGGTTATAGTGACGTGGTAGAATGCAAAGACACTGAAAAAAATTGTACCGAAAAGGGTAATTGAATATGAGAGAGCCACAATTTAGTTGAGAAAATGACAAAGAGTGTGATTGGAAAAGAGAAGATTGGGAATCAGAGGCAGCAAAGGCCACTCACGATATTCAACAAGAATCGACCAGTGACTCTTGTTCTGTTGGATGATTCCTTAATGTAACAAAAAATGCTTGAAAATTAGTATTGTCCAATGTAAATAGTTATGGACATTCCTACCATTGTGACTAGGTTCATAGTTTTTACTTTTTTTAAAAAATCTATAAACTGTGTACCATAATAAAATAAATTATAGTATTTGTTTGAACATTACCATAAATGATAATAAATAAAAAATTGTATAAATAAAATACTTTTGTAAAACTTTTAATCGGTTACCCTAATTAATTTAGCATAGTCATAATTATTGTAGATGAAAGGATGAATATATTCAATTTTTAATTATAAAGTTAATTTATTAATTAAAAATTAAAAATAAAAAGCCAGTAAAACTTAACTCATAAGAAAAATGAGTAGAAAATGATAGTTTGACATGTCCAACTTATCTATTAAATTTTTTTTGAAAAGTATAAATTGAAAGTGGATTTCATCCAGTGTTATGATCAATAAAAAAAATCTGCATTGTCTAATCTATTTGTACATTAATTTCTTTTTTGAAAAGATGACATATCTAAAATGTAAATAAGCGTATAGTATGTAAAGTATTCTTTCATTTAAGCGTATAGTATATAAAATATATTTTAATCATACAATCTCAATCCAACCATAAGCTTTTGACTGGATTAACTTCGAACCACATATTTTATCTCTAAATTAAATGTATTCATCCAAAATGTATAAACAACATTTCCTTGGTGAACTTATACAATACTATCCATCCAGAATTACATTGCTATCCTCACTCACAAATGGTATTTTTCTCACAAGAACATTTGACTATAAAAACTAGTGAGACAAAATTAAAAATAAAACTTTAGAGAGAGAGAGAGAGAGAGAGAGAGTGTCAGTATACAAATTCGTATTCTGGATGATTTGAAATGAGAAAGGGAGTCTTTGTTTATAGGCTCGACGTTCCTTAAAAAAGGAAATAGCATTTACGAAAAATAGCTATTGTTAATCGATTGACACATTTTCTAACAGGATAATTTATTAAAATCAAATGTGTATAAGTTTCCAATATGGAAAGATAAGATATATAGTCATTGTATAGAATCTGGGCACTTTCAATTTGCCTTGCGCCTCAAGTTTGCGTCAATCTAATCGGTTGGCACAATCGATTAAATATAATTAAAAATTTGTTTATAGCTTTTTGATTGCTCTCATCATGTTCTATACAACTTCTATATATTTTTCAAAGTGTTTTCTTTCGGTAAATCATTTTAGAAAAATATTTTAGTGTGTGTGCTTATAGTCATGTACTTCTATGGAAAAGCCCATTTGCTTTTACATTGTTTCACTCACTTACTATTTTAAGATATTTTCTCAAAGCTTTGTCGGTTGTTATCTTTTTGCTTTGACACTTGCTTGATATTTCTTAAGGCTTTTGATAGAGTCCAGTTTGTTTTCCTTTATCTGATAGTCATATTTATCAAATCCTTATACTCATGGTTTTCATCTTTAACTACTTAAGTGAATTGGCTGACTTATCATTGGTTGTATCTTTATCGTGATAGATATCTCTATTCTTTTATTTATAATTCTCATCATCAAAAGATATTGTCTTGATAAAAAGTCTATCACCTGTCAAACAAGGTTCCACATAAATTTCCCACCTGAAAGAATTGGAGTTTCAACGGGCAGGATCTGACATATAAATCTTGCCTAAAGGCATAACCGAAGTTTATCCTAAGAGACTTAACCTAAAGTCTTGTTCGAGGGATTGATAGAAGTATCACCCAAGAGATCCAACGCCTCACCAGAGGGGCTTAAAGTCTCATCAGGCAGGCTCAATATAACCTCGCCTGAGGGACTTGAGGTCTCAATAGCCAGACTCAATATAACCTCACCTAAGATACTTAGAGTTCCTATCAAAAAAACTTATTTAAACTCCCCGCCTGAGAGACTTGAAGTTTCCTCTGGTGGGATCCGACATATAAGTCTCGTCAAAGATACGCAAATAAAGTTTAGCCTAAGAAACTTAACCTAAAAGTCTTGTTTGAGGGATTGATAGAAGTTCCTCCCGATAGGTCCAATGCCTTGCATGGGGGATTTGAAATCTCGTCATCCAGAATCAATATACCCTCGCCTGAGGGGCTAAGAGTTTCCATCAAATAGGCTTATCTAAACCCTCCACCTGAGTGACATGGATTTTTGTCAAGCGGGATCAAACATATGAGTCTCGTCCAAGAGGTGCGACTGAAGTCTAGCCTAAGAGACTTTACCTAATGTCTTGTATGAAGACTTGATAGAAGTCTTTCCCTAGAGCTCTAACGCCTACTTAAAGGACTTGAAGTCTCATCATCTAGGCTAAATATAACCTCGCCTGAGGGATTAAGAGTTCCCATCAAGCAGACTAATGTAAACTCCCTGCTTGAGAGACTTGGAGTTTCCTCTGACAGGATCTGATATATAAGTCTCACCCAAGAGGCACAATCGAAGTCTAGCCTAAGAGACTTAACCTAAAAGTATTATTTCATGGCTTTGTATAAGTTTTACCCGAGAGGTCCAACACCTCGCTTGAGGGATTTGAAGTCTCATCATCTAGGCTTATGATAACCTCGCTTGAGGGACAAAGAGTTCCTATAAAATAAACTTATATAAACTCCCCATCTGAGAGACTTGGAATTTCCTCTATCGGGATCTGTCATATGAGTCTCACACAAGAGGCGCGATCAGAGTCTAGCCTAAGAGACTTAACCTAAAGTATTGTCTGAGGGATTGATAGAAATCTCGTCAGAGATGTAACACCCATATATAATACATGTCTAGAATATATATTATACATAGTGTAATTGATACTGAAAATGCATAAAATCCTAACGACAATCATACATATATACATGCCTAAATGAATAATATACAACCATGGCACTATATACATACAAAGGTGTCTGAAATAAAACTAAAATCTAGATCGTCACCTAGATGATCTAAAAATATATATCTACACAATGGAACAAACACCATCCAAAACATCAAGCCATAAAGGATCATCAAGCAAGCTTGCCCTTGCTTTTCACCTGCAAAGAACTTCCAAAAAAACAATAACTATAATGGGGTGAGATAATAATCTATGTGGGTTCCCTATCTTATGGGTTCACTCGACTCTACAGGGTTTCTAATCGATTTCCTAACTTAAGCCATGCTAATGGAATAAAAACTTAAGCATCTAGGGGATTTTCGCATTGTATGGAAACATGTACACTAGAGTTCACCAACTCAAATCAATCACTATTTAGAAACCATACCAAGACGTCTTTCTTAGGCCTAACCTACATCTAGGATTATCGACATGGGTCACCGATTTTTGTATCATGCTTTGACTTTCTTATGGATTTCGGATTCTCCATGGGACTCGAACCCACTTCAAGAATCATCACTTTATATGGGACTCAAACCCATTTCAAGCCTTTTCCTCGTATGGGACTCAAAACCACTTTGATGTTCATGTCTTCTATGGGACTCTAACCCATTTGGTTGTAGTATGGGACTCTAACCCAATTGATGTGAAGTAATAGTGCATGTATCCTTATTCTTAGTTTTCATAAGCATCGCAAATTGGGATGGGCACGACAATGGCGTTATTTCCTAATACATATTAGTTCATTAATTGCAATGTGATTGCACTCATCAATCACTAGGTGATCACATTCACCCATCTCATAACAATAAATCATGTTCCATACAAAGCATATTAATTCACGGCTATGATTCAAATCTAGCGACTATTCGTTCACTGTATACACAAAGGTACCTTGATGTCTGAATATTGCCATCTAAGTCATTGTCTTAGCCTAAATTATCTTACTAGTTCATTTACCTAGTTTACATACTAATTTTTCCTCACTAATCATTATAAGTTTTAGCCATGTTATTATTTACAATTGAAACAAGTATACAATCATAACATAATTCACAAACATACATGATCATTCATCATCATCCACTAAACACCACTTGGTCTAATTCATGGTTTCTCATTACCAAATGATAGACCATTAGACTAGCTTTCTAATGCTTTGAATATCATATCACTCAGAATTAGCAAGGAGAGGCAGTGGCCACAAAATTGGGAAAAATCCCTTCTTCGCTTAGCAAGGACTAGTGAGGACATAGCGAGCAAGCTCTCGCTTAGTGTGGGTGTAGCGGTTGGGTAGTGAGACATGGGAGAATGTTTTTCTTTACAAATTTTGGCTATTTTTCTTAGAGAAACTAGAGTGAGGCATAGCGAGACAATCTCTCACTTAGAAAAGATAGAGTGAGGCATAGCGCGCCACAAAAAACAAACTTCTTGGGCAGCGGCAAGGCTCGCTTAGCAAGTTGGCCTCTCGCTTAGCAAAAAAACCAGAAAAGAAACAATGAGAAAATGCACAAAAAAAGGAAAAACAAAAATACTAGAATACAAAGCATCTTAACACACCAAAAGACGTGTTCTAGCATAATAATCAAACAACAACAAGCAAAACATGTAACAACCTCCATTTGATCATTGACATGATGAGAAACATAAACCTTAACTTTTCTATTTCTTGAAATTTCTTCTCTAAATTAAGAAACTAACTAGAACCCACCTTGATAGATGAAGATAATGAGAGATTTATGTGAAATTATGATCTAGTCTTCCTATTATCTTTTCCCAATCTTCTTCTTATCTAAGTTCTCTCTCTTTTTCTTCTTTTCCTCTTTCCTTCTCTTCTCTTACTAGCAAATGGAAAAGGAGTGGTTGGTAAGAATAGAAGAGAGAAAAATATTTAAAAGGGATATTTCATCTTCTAGAGAGAAAAAGGAAACTTCCTGGGCAGTGGCAAGGCTCACTTAGCAAGTTGTCCTCTCGCTTAGCAAAAAAACCCAGAAAAGAAACAATGAGAAAATGTACACAAAAAAAAGGAAAAACCCAAATACCATAATATAAAGCATCTTAACACACCAAAAGACATATTCTAGCATAATAATCAAACAACAACAAGCAAAACATGTAACAACATCCATTTGATCATTGACATGATGAGAAACATAAACCTTAACTTTTCTATTTCTTGAAAATTCTTCTCTAAATTAAGAAACTAACTAGAACCCACCTTGATATATGAAGATAATGAGAGATTTCATGTGACATTATTATCTAATCTTCCTATTATCTTTTCTCAAGCTTCTTCTTATCCAAGTTCTCTCTCTTTTTCTTCTTTTCCTCTTTTCTTCTCTTCTCTTACTAGCAAATGGAAAAGGAGTGGTTGGTAAGAAGAGAAGAGAGGAAAATATTTAAAAGGGATATTTCATTTTCTAGAGTAATTTACCAATTATTAATGTAACCAAAAGTTCTTTCTTTAACAAATTAATAAAGGTCAACCTTACTGAGTAAGAATTAAGCTCGTTTGAGTTTACTGATTACTTTATTTGTCCCAACTGGGAAGTAATAGAGCATATATGAACTCAGTTGATCTAAATTGACAAGGCTCATAATGTCTAAGAGGACACGTGGTAGTACATCATCCCCCTTAAATAAAAATGTGTCCTCAAATTTAGAAATTACCTGGAACATATAAGGATAAGATTCTTGCATCTCGGACTCTAGCTCCGAAGTTGCTTAGTCTAGATGTGATTATTCCCACTAAACCTTAACAATAGGAATCTGCTTGTTTCTCAATACCTTAGGCTCACGACCTAAAATACGATTAGGGTGAGGCTTAAAAAAATAGGCTGAAGAGAATTAGGGATAAATTTCCAAAGTTGCGATATATGAAAAACATCATGCATCCCGGGTAGAGAGGGTGGTAAAGCCAATATGTAAGATACCTCGTTGATCCTTCCAATGATCTGATATGGTCCCACGTATCTTGGACTTAACTTATGTGATTTAAAAGGTCATTTCAATCTTAACCTTGGGGTAACTTTCAAGAATATGTGATCACATTCTTCGAATTTCAATGGTCTTTGTCTATTATCTGCATAACTCTTCTGACAATCTTGAGCTTTCTTCATTTTCTTTTAAATCATCTTTATCTTTTTTGTGGTCTCTTGAATAACTTTCGGTCCTAAAATTCCTTCTTCTCCAACTTCTGTTCAACAAAGAGGTGTCCTGCATCTTCTTCCATACAAAGCCTCATACAAAGCCATTCCAATGCTCACATGGTAACAATTATAATATGAAAATTCAATCAATGGTAAAAGATCTTTCCAATTTCCTCCACTTGCAAGCACACATGCTCTTAGCATATCCTCCAAGTTCAGAATCGCCCTCTCGGTATGATTGTCCGTATGAGGATGATTAGACGTGCTCAAACACAACTTCGATCCCATGGCTTGCTGAAAGGATTCCCAAAATCTCAAAGTGAACTTTGAGTCTTTATCACACACGATACAAGTGGGAACACCATTCAACCTCATAATCTCTACAATAATCAATCATGTAAGATGAATAACCTTGTAAGTAGTCTTTACGGTTATAAAATGGGCTAATTTAGTTAATCGATCCATGATTACCCATATTGAGTTGTAATCACTATGTGCATGCGGTAACACAATTGAAAAGTCCATATAAATACTATCTCATTTCCACACTGGAACTTCCAATGGTTGCAATAATCCAACTCACTTTTGATGCTAAATCTTTACCTGTTGGCACACCATATATTCAGATAGATAATAAGAAATATTCCTCTTCATACCAGGCCAATAATAATTCTTTTTCAGGTATTAGTACATCTTTGATGAACCCGGATGAATGGTAAATGCACATTTATGTGCCTCATTCGAAACCCTCCTTCTTAATTCCACATTATTTGGAACACATATTCTTTGATTAAAGAAAATAACTTCATCCATGGCTTGAGTGAAACCCATTTAAGTTGAAAAGGCTTGCAACTCTTCATCTAACACTTAACTCTGATGAATCTTTTCTCTCAAATCAGAAGTAACATTCAAATTTCATACATTACACTATTCTGAGTCCAAGCAAACCTAAGATTGAGATCTCCAAACTTTTCCAACAATTTATACTCCAACATCATTTACTCAGCCTTGTGCATCTCTTTTTATCTTAATGCATTTGCAACTTTATTCGCTTTACTAGGATGGTACTTAAGTTCAAAGTCGAAATCCTTCAAGTACT